CGGAGTGCTATATTACTCCAATTTCAGGTCTTCTGTTTTAAGAGAAGTGTATTTGCTTTCGTGACGCAGTACATTTGACAAACCAATTTTCTGAGGAAATGGCTGATCTTTGGGTAGATGGTGAATTCTGCGTCTAGTACTAAGAACATATTATAATTGCACTACCTGTGCACTGTTTTATCACGAGCTAAAAAAATGGGGTATATGTTCTAAATAACGCTTGAAATTGTGAGGTAAATAAACAGCAGCTAATGCAATCTAGAATAAGGTTTCAAGTTAATTCACTTTCCGGAGGCAGTCTAAGGGTGCATTTCCCTTTAGATAACCCAGTCCATAATTCTCTTTTAGAATCATTCTTGTAATTTGTGAATGAAGTGAATTCGGCCCCCAGATTGGTGTGTTCGCTTTTTCTTACCTTTATTTTACTTGATCTGAATGGTAACTTCCATCTGGAATGCGCTCATGCCGCCCATATCGGATAATGGAGCGACAAATATTTGGTCAAAATTTCACCGGCTATTTATTGAAAAGTTTTTCCATGAATAATTCACTGTTTAGGAATTTTGCTGTCCTAGGTTTTACTGTCAGGTGAATTTTTCTTCCCACAAGGGTGTTTACTTCGCTTTAGTTTGCAATTTTGTCTTTATTAACGTTTTCTGTTGGTGTTTTCTACTCATATGGTCTATAGCTCAGCAAAAGCAGGTGTGCTGGGTGGAAATTTTATCGTCAGGATCTGAAGCAATTCGATATCACAATTTCCTCACATGTTAGCACAATTGCCTTTTATTACCATTTTGTAAAGCATCAACTTCTCCCTCCCTCTCCATCCCTCGTTGCCTAAGGCTCACTACCACTGGTACCACGTGTTTTCTGTCTCGTAAACAAGCTAAGGAAGCACGACCTTGAAACGGTTTACAGAGGAGTAGTCATAGTCTGAAAACTGGAGGAGAAGGAATGAAATCCAACCCGAGAGCTGTTACCTCCTGGTTCGCCACATCCGACACATGGTTTTCTGTTCTTCGCTCTTGGAAAAGCATTCCTTGTGTATGGTCGCTTCTAAACTACACTCCTTCCTCGTAGGTTGTGTGCAAGACGCCGTGGTATCAATCTCTCCTTCGCTATCAAGCAAAAAATGTTCAATCTTCGGCCATCTTTAATAAACAGTAAGTTTAGAAATTTGTAATTTTCCAACTTAACAGCTTCATTGACCACACTAATATCACTGGAGTTCTGGTTATAGCAATTGTCCAAAAATCCGCAGCCACCCGAAAAGAGGCTCATCATAAAAATGCTTCATAGATGCTCGATTTGATCGTGAAATTGTTTTGTAACAAATCTTATGTCACCGGGACAGCATCCAATTCATGATGATACGGTTTGTCTCTCGTCCAACTTTTAACTCCTTGAGGTGCTCTCTTGGTTGGCATCTGAAAATAATAACACCCCATGCGGTCATGGGCTTGTCAAAACGGGAAGCCACATCAAAACGCAACCATGGGTTTTGGGCAATAGTAAACCAGCCTTCTGTGTGATCCCCACTTTACTTTATACTACCTTCTCTGCCCTTCTAGCTGTCTCCAAATCTGACAGCGCCACGAGGTTGGGGGTGGTGACTTCTTTTGTTCCGTTCTAGATATCTTTTTTCTCTCACAGCTAATAACCTACATCTGTATTCTACCGGCAAATTGTTAAGTTGTTGCCGCAAGATTTACTTAGCCAGTTTATTTGCCTCACCGACGTTATTCCCAACTAGTCCAATCTTTCAGTAGTAGCAATTCCAAGCATTACAGCTACTTGGCATCTAGTCCGAGATAGGTGTACTCACTTCCACTGTTCACTACTTTCATAGGTCTCTTTATTACTGCAAAAGGTCGAAGCATGTGAGAGACCCGAACTGAGATTCAATCATCATTCATTGGTCATGCCTTCACCTCACCCAACACTTCGTTAATACTCTGAGATGTTTCGTTTGTGTGTTCCTCTCCCAATGTGGGAATTGTATTCCGAAAAAACGTGGCAGCAATTTTTGACTCGGTTACAGATGGCAACATAGCCACGTAACAACTATAGATTGGGAGTAGCCGAGGCGATATCTTAAATGTAGGCCAGTAGATCCCACCCACAACTTGTCCATGTCTTTGGTTATGCAATATGTAACGTGAGTGCGATACTTAAGAGCGTTTTTATCATACGAACTTGTAGAGCGCTTTGCTTTCCCGGCAATGGCCTCTCCTATAGAAACAGGTAATCTTAGCATGAAATTGCCTTCCTCTCTCCTTAGGGCCGTTTGTTTCAAGGCTTCGTGGATCATTAACGTTTTGCACTCGGGTTTTGGATTCCCTCGAACCTACACCAACCTCCATCCCATTGACAAGCTCTCCGGCATTGAGGTGCAATGGAGTCTGGGTGCCTTTATCTACTACATGCAATTGTAAGCCTCTGCTCTTTTGCAAGCTCAATTGAGCGCTTATCTACGTCTAACCCCTTGTCATTCGACTCTTGCCAAACTAGGCATCAACACAATACTGTGAAGCTTTATTTGTTTACCAATCCCTATGTGAAGGGCGTCGTTTTTGGTCACCTTGCTTGTTGTTGTCCATCGTCAAATACACCATGTACCATGCTAATAAGTTCATTTAAAGTCTGTAGCTTCTATCCATTCACATTAGCTAAGCCATGCGTGATTGTTTTAACACTTTTGTCTACGCTGCTGAATACTCTGTGTGTCTGGTTAAGTCCCTCCTTCGCATTCCCTCTCTGTAATCGACGAACGCCCGGAATGGCGATAGGTCAACATGTCGCGACCTGCAGGATCGACTGGCTGCTGTTCTTCATTCCATGTGTATATTCGCACACTCGTATGTGGGTAATGCCCAGCACCTTACTCGCATAAACAAGTGTCTTAATGGCCTTTTAACTTGATCGTAGTCAGGGGGGAGGAGGGGATTAATGCTGTGCAGGTGCTGTCCGTTTATTGAGCAAACACAATACTAACCTATAGTAAACCTTAGATACCATCTCCGACTCCGATCGCTTGAGTGGATAATTTCATCCCTAGATCTCTTTATCTAGATTTTGAGTGCCATTCATGGAGTCGGTGGTGGCATCCCTTTGCCGACCTGCTACTTGTAGTGACCGCGTCGTTCGCTCATATACTTCCCTCCTCTGCCCTCCAGTTTGATGATCCGGTACGACTCGAACATCGTCCCCTAGTTGTTGCACTTAATAGCTCCTTCCGCACATGTGATGCCATGCCTACAGTAAATAACACTTCTGAAACTGTTTCCTGCACTTCTTTTGGCTTTATTTTAGACCTATTGCCATGCGACTCTATTTTTCATCCACAGTTAGCGTCACTTTTTCCCCTTTTTTGAAAGTTGGGATTGGGAATACTTACTGCAATACTAGGTGGCACATGCTCAATTGCAACTCCTTGCAGCCCTGAGTTCAAGCGCCTGCTGGCCGAAGAGCCCAGTTATCCGGTGGTGGGGTTTACGCATCGTCAGACTGCTGCGCTCTTGCTCCTCCTCTTCATCTTCACGTGTCTTTCAATCTACATCTACTACATCTGCTGTCGAAAGCAGCTCCAAAGATTTGGCTTCGTTGGGAGTCACAGCCCCCCTTGCTGCGCCGCTCCTCTCCTTCTGCCCTTCAAGCAGCTTTGGCGCTCGCCTAAGCTAGCCAACAATGGCGTTGTTCTCGGAGGTGTTGGAAGCGGCGGCAGCGTTGGTGGAGGAGGCAAAAGAATCCCCTCTGGCAACTACCACTACTCGAAGATCTCCTCTCCCAGTCTACATGTGAACTTCCGTTCCTCAAACTCCCTTCCCTCATTCGAAAATTTCCAGGACAGCAGGGTCGTCCCCCTGGTAAACGGTACTGTTTGAAGGAGTGCATAACTGTCGCGTACATACTTGTGTATTCCTTAATCTTGGAGACATGATGCGCCTACCTTGTTATTTTTGGCATATAGAGCCAATTAATTATTATCTAACGTCTTTGTATGAAGAAACTGATATGCCGGGAATAAACAAAGCAGCTAGGTGGAACGTAGGATTGCCTATGGGATATGCTGACATCAAAAGCACACATTTACCGCTCCAAATACATGCACGGTTCCTCCCGTAGTCACATGTCGTGTGTCCACGACGTAAACCCAGCTTCAAACCCCCATAACGGCAGCAGTATGCTGATTTTATGGGGGTTTTGTGATTTCTGAGGTTGGTGACGTTGAGGTTCATAACGCTAGTTGTTTTTTTTCACCGTCAGGTTTCTTTACAATCAGATTAAGAGAACCAATTAAACACGATAGTTACCCTGCTTAGAAAGAAAGTTTTAGTTATCCTACGAATCTGGCCTTGATCATGTTATGTGTGGAGGCTCACACGTCCAATGTCTGCAACCGTAGTAGGAAGTACAGGATATTGCAGCAATCCCATCGTTACAGTAAAGAAATTTGAGACGGAGATGGACCAAAGGAAATGCTATTTCTTAATTGCGTCGAGGTTGATCAGCAGAAGCTCAGTTGCAACTAGCCGACTAAACTAACAAAGGCTTTGTTTCATATTTGTGAGCACTAGTGTTTAAGATCGTCGTCTTCATGTTGCTAATCGCTCAAGTTCCCTCAACTCGTTTTAATTCGGACTTCTACGAATATGCCAAACTCCACTCTGAGTCGCCCATGGAGAGGTGTATTTTGGTATTATAAATGTGAACTAACCCCTAAGTGGCGTTGCTAAAACGGACGGAAGTTGTAGTAGTCTGGAGCTGATTCCACGTTTACTTGCAACCTAACACATCAAGAGTACCTTCGACTAAAGCATCGCTTACCCACAGTATCCAGGCCTTCAATTCAGTTTATTTCAGATAGTTAAAATTGTGTAAAACTTACTGTAAGAGAACTTATGAGTGGATTTTGCTTGAAAAGTAACGCATTGAAGGTGTCTCCGATACCTGCGTACCGATCGCTGAGCTTAAGGCTTACGGTTTTATACTTTACGAATTTCCATGTGGTTATCATTACCTCTCTTTAGTTGACGATAACATTTAATTTCTGGTAAATGTTGCAAAACGCCTCTGTAGCGCTCCAAATAGGGTATTCCTGATTTTAAGTAAAATAATTTGTCAAGTTTGACCACATTTGTAAAAACGGTCTATCAAAACAGCTTCAGTAAATGCACATGTACAACTGTACCTGTAATAATGATAATGTAGTGATTTGATGGTTTGTTCAACTCTGCGTTTGACTACACGAGCAATTGGGTCCCCGTCTATTGTGCTTTTACAAGGCGACATGGCCTTCTGGCCATCCCGGTAGCCTCGCAGTCCTTTTGTATGCTAGTGATGCAGTTGTAGCGTCCTGATACTGCCCTGGACAAGAAAGAAGACGCAGTACGTGTTTTAGACCTACAGAAGGGCTTGAAGACTATTGGTGTAGCCTGGAGGTCAGGCTGTCCGGCTAAGGTACGATAGCGGAGCCCCTAAGTAGCCCGTTACCGAAATTGAAGGTTAAACAGTTAAAGCATTACATACCCTCTCATCTCTTTTGAGCATTGTCCTCGGTGCTCTCCTTGACCAACTACCAAGTCAGCCATCACAGCGCAATCAATGCTGTAACAACAATACCCACCACTAAACCAACTGCAACAGTTATCAAATGTTCATGCAGGTGAGGAGATGTCTGGCTGTCATGTTACTAATCCTTCTTAGGAATTCTGCATTATCTGGCTTTTCAGCCTGTATGGGAACTTCATTGGGAGGCGGAGAATGTACTGACCATCACGCGTGTTCATCGCCAGTCCTGGAAACACCGGCCCAAAAGGCGAGTTACATAATTAAGTACAAAGTTTAATATTGTTCTGCAGGGGCTATGCTTCGCGTCTTCCCCTCCTTGCCACCCTGGTCTCATCAGTGCTGCCCAACCCTATCCATCTGGATTCTATCCAGCAAGTAGGGCAGTGGAGGTATCGCGAGTTCACGTAAATGATATCTTCATGGAGAAACAGTAGATTGCTCCGCAGCGAACTTTTCTAGATGGATCTCGGTTGTGGCTACTGTAGCTCCAGTTGTTTTCAGTCCTGCTGATCACAAGGCTGGAATATTCGCTGAAGGTGGACATCATTTTCAGCGTAATTGTTGGAGGTCATCACAGATTCTGTCATCTATCTGATAGGCAGTTCTTCGGTCACGCTAAAGTTTATCACCTAGCGGTAAAAAACAGGATGGTTGTTCTCTAGGATAAGGTTTGCTTTTAGCTGTCACCAATGTAACGCCCCGAGACTTCCCCAGAGACGACAGAGTGGATAATAATCAGGCAGAATATGTGTTGCCTAAGCATGGTATGGCCCGGGGGAACAATTTTGGAGTGCCTAAGGGGTTTGCTACCAAAAGTAAGAGTTAAACAAAGAATTGTTTTACTATAGTGCTCATCCCAAAACTCTCTGCACTCTTACAGCTTCAGAGAAGAATAAGAAAGTTGTAATGTCTTCAATAAGCATTTAAAAACAACAAGCAAAGCGAATTAATTTTCGCCGCTTTTCACTAGCTGGCGAAACTTCGCGTTTGATTCCCAAACACGCTATTGGCATGTGTAAATTTAACATAACTCTGAACACTTTCAACAGCCTACTTCCTTTCCTAAAAATACTATACCTTAATGGTGCTTAGCTTGCTTTTTGAGGTATTTAAATTAAATTGTGGAATCCTTGTTAATTGCTATCAAGGGGTGTGCACTGGTGGCCCGCCGTATCCCAATATTTGGTGCAGTCGGTGGCGCGCAGATGAGTATTGTGGGTTTCGTCTCTCGTATTTCTGCTATTCCTAAATCTCAGTATTTAACTGTTTGTCTAAGAGGTTTTAATGTATCACCTTAACAGCTTAAGCTCGTGTGAGTCCTACTACCAAGGGATGTCGAAGAAACCGACTAAGTGTTCAGGGGTTGTCATACACGTCTCTCTTCCTATCCTTGTCTACAGCCGTTTGAGTTCTAATTCCTTACATTTTCCCCTTAATTCTGTAGCCAGTGAATAATTTCGTAATTTAAGCCTTATATACTAACTGGACATCGGAATAGCTGCCTGTAAATGGAGCCTGTTTATTCGTCCCATGACTTTGTGCAATCTTCTTGCCATACCATCCAAAGATGTCTCTCTACATGGGTGTATTTTGAGAGTTCAGTATCTTATGAAATATTGGGATTAATTGATGGTCATTCATTTTTAACCTTTAGACCCGCAGCCTATTAAGCAAGCACTTCGTTCGGGAATTAGAGGCAACCAACTGCGCAAATAATTCTCCAGATAAGGTAATGGACTCAAATTCTTCGCTGAATGGCGAAGAAGCCCGTGATTTTTACCTTGGCTTATTTGCTGACGAAAAAGCAGAACTGGGGCCACTGAACGCTTCTCGCCAGTTACAGTCTTCGTGTTCATCTAACTGTGATCCCACCTCTCGGTCACACATATCTTCTCTCCATCACCAAATTGCTGTTCTGTCTAAGGAGCCAATTCGTCCCTCCTCATTACTCATCCCCCCATCTAATCGAGGATACAAAATGCTTCGACGCCTAGGCTGGATTGATTTCGCCGATATGGATATCTCCGTCAGTTTTGCTGATGTGGGGACGTCGAGTGCTGGTGGACTGGGCCGACAGGGTCAAGGACGCCGTTTTCCTATAGCGACAGTGCTCAAAAGCGACAGGTTGGGATTCGGTGCTACTACAAAGAGCCGCCCGCGCATAACGCATTTCGCGCCCAACGACATAAAGGCTGTCGTTAGTAGGCCCCTTTCATCGCGGAAAAACTGGCCCTTGCGTCTGGATAAGCGATTACAGGCAAAACGTATCAAGGCGGAGAAACTGAAGGAAATCCGATTCCGACAAGAATTTTACTTCGATGACGATCAGTTAAAAGTACTCTACGCGGAACGCAGGTGTTCTTTGTAAAGTATAGATAGTCCATACTATTTGTACATGACCATTTTCTTACACGTATTAATGTTCTTTTATTTGGGAATCTAGTATTTTGTACCCCATATTCGATTCTTGGTAATAACTAGTGTCTTGGGTAAATTGAGTATTTTGGGCACCGAAAGGATGACCAAATGTTCTTACGTTTAATTACACATTCTTGAAATATACCTTGCGCTCGGGTCGCAGCATTGCAAGCTTGGTGGAGGTTTAGTGCATAGGAAAGTTAAGGATGATGCATCTTTGAATCGAGTTGGTTTTGACCTGGGGACACCTTTTCCTTCGATGGTTGCTTTTGTGGGGAATGTGTTGCCTTCTGGCCTTCGCTCGTGCGTGCTTAGCTGATGGAGGGGTCTACTTCTCGGCTACTGCCAATTTATGTCTACGTTCCCACCCGAATGGAATACTTTATTGTTAGCTAATGGGTCACTTTAAGATGGTTTTACTGCTACATGAGCTTTGAAGTGGTTTCTTCGTTAAGTACACGTAATCCAAACAATTGGAGGTTGCTTTCTACCATTATGCTTGCAGTATGCGGGACAAATCCACGCATTTTAAATAACAAGGGGGAAAAGTTCGTGGCAGCTTGGAAATCCACTTTTACCGCTTGATGATGGTCCGATGAGAACAATTTGTCTGCACTTGACTGAAGTTAAATCTGAAATTGCAGTCACAAACGATTGCAAATGCTTTTGAAGCCTTTTACCCTACCAAGCTCAGGATTGATTTAGACTAACTCACCGGGCAGAGGTATCCAGTAAGTGAGGCAAGCTAAGTTAACGGAAGCAGTTTTTCCGACGTGGTCTTCCCAGCATTCCGCACAAAAGGTAAATGATTAGATTTCAGTGGAAAGTGAGTACTGTATCCTTATTCGTTCATTTTAGTTGCATAAATTAATGAGCAAAATTCTAAATAAATTGAAGTGAGCTCCTCTGCTTCTTTTGTGTGCTGAAAATCCAACTTTGTTACCACCTATACCTTTTTAGGTGCTGTCCTCTTGTAAGACAGTATAATAATGATTATGGCGAATTTTAATAAACTATGCCGACTAATTATTATGGCAATTCACAACAGGCTTAAATAACGTGTTACATTATCTTATGTATTAAAAATCTTTCTTAAAATGTCTTGAATACAAATGGAAAATGATCTGTTTTATGTCAAAAGCTATGGTTCTGGTGTTGTTGTTTAACATGCCATTTGAAGGTCATTTCTTCGCTTCACGAATTCGAGGTGGACTTTGTAAATTTCTGGGAAGCGCGACGTTTTTGCTATAAGCATGTCTGCTGTTAAACGAAATGCTAACGGTAAATCAACAAAGTCATCGAAGAAGCCTAAGGAGGTTGATGGTGCGTTTGTCATGTTATCGTGCTTATTAGTGTTGTATGTGTCCTTGTCACTTATTTGAATCTTTATATGGGAGTAATTTTGATTGTGATCTTTGCAACTTATTTTAGTGCTCAAATATGTGTGTTATGTTTGCAGTTTCCTCTCGTGTTGGCCCTAACTACCAAGTTGATGTTCCTGAGTTTGTTTACAATCAATCATCGTCCTTTCTGAACGAGTGTTCTGCTCGGGAAGTAAATGTTTGGAATCCTGAGCACAGTCCACCATTACCTGATATGGATACGTATTTATCCCAGGCTAAGAAATATAGGTATGTTGTTTATAATCTGCCGACTCATGCAGTAGATTTTTATGTACTAATTCATTACATTACTAAATGCCTAATTCCCACGTCTTTTCCTTGGTGTTATTTATTTCATATCATATTTTGTTAGAGTGTCTTATAAAGATTTACGAACCCCTCTTTTTTAATGCAGGTATTCGGAAGAATCTGCTAGAATACTTTTACATTACCATAAGTATAACATTCAACATGCAGTGGATGATCTTCCTAATTATCAACCTATCCTTAATACTTATAACAAACTTGAAGTCAGGCGTTTCTTGAAGTGTGTGGACAGCAGACCTCGCAAAAATTTTGTTAATGTCAGAGAGTCTGTGAGTTTGCGTTATTCTCTCCTTTACCTTCTTTGGAAGTGCTTGCCTGTGGCTGTACTTTATGATAAATTTGGTTGTCTTGAGATTCATTTATTCTATTGATTCGTGCTTTTTTAGCCTGCTCAAGGAGGCTTCATTGAAGTATTGGTGATAGTGTTCCTTTTTCAAACTTTTGTGCCCCATTTTATTCATGTTTTATCTATGGGTAAGATTTCCATTTTTATCATCGGATTTGTCAATAGATGTGAAAAACCCCCTTTGGTCTTTTTAATCTGAACAGCGATCGACGTCGATTTTTTAAGGATATATTGTGATCGAAAACTTTTTCATTTTACAATGCTCCGTGCCTATTTACTTTTTATTCAGAGTGTATTTAGGCAAAATTATCATTTACAATAAATTTGTACCAAATTGCAACCAGTTTTTTTGCAAATGCGTAGCGTATTATCTCCGTAGCTCTTATTGCGCCTTATCAAGGCGGTCTAGTTTTAGCATTTTCATCAAGTAAAAAGCCACGCTTCTTGTTGGTATTCATTATTAGAGCGTTGGATCAGAATTTCATTCTCTATTCATTTAGTTTCCTGCTTACCGTATGGGTGAACTCCACGCGCTGTACTACGCTATCGCAGCTCCCTTTAAGGCTATTCCGCGACATAACCGCAAGCATGGGCGTCAAATGCAGACCTGCTATGAGAGGGCTGTAAAGCGCGGCTTCACCTCTTCCACTGCTGTTTCCGTGCCAGTCGTTCCCTCCGTAGTTGATCCAGAGGAGGCTGAGGCGGATAGCTCCTTTGAGCGCTATCTTTGCGAAATGCTAGGTCAAGAGCGAGCCAATAAAGTTGTTGCTGGTGTAAGGCGTGGTCGTTCAACAACTGAACCTTCTACTAATTCTAACACGGCTGTACCTATGCGCCTCGCCTATGGTGGCACTGCGAATGGGGCACTACCCTTCGGTCGCAGGTACATCGCTGCCACCGAATCACTCGTTGGCAGTTCTGACCACTCTTCGGCCCTCGAATCTCACTCCAAGTAAGGCTGCATCGCCTTCGCAGAAACTTTGCTTTTTCTTTTGCAAATTCACTTGCTCAGTTGTATCTACTTTTTCTGAAAAACGTTCATATTTAAACAGTTGACTTTTTAGTCGTTAACTGAATCAGCATTTACTTGTGGTTCACGTTCGCATGATGAGTGATTTTTTATTGAAACTGTATGTAATCACCTTTGATAGCGTATTCTTTAGAAAGCACAACTTAATGACACGCTTTCCGACTTAACAGCAAGAAGACCATAATAGTGTGTTGACAGGCAAAGGTGAGGTAACAGATGTTTTTAGGTAACAATTACATATCAGAACTGAGCCATTTCTGCATAAAAAGAGATGCCTGCATTGCATTGCTTTGATTTGCATTTATACACTAATCTTCTATTTGATTGAAGGTAGCATTTCTTGCCGTGTTATCATATTTTTGGATTCAAAAATGTTTAGTATCTAGTTATAAGTGTTACGTTTTTAAGGAAACTATTCAAAATATCCTTGAAGGCCACTTTTTCTATCATATCCAGTCTGACAACACCCAAGCGGCGCACACAATTAGTAAGTGGCGATGAGTGTGTGCAAATTAAAGCTGAAATAGAATCGTTTGCCGGACTCGCACTCAGTTTTATGCAAAGAGGTCATTTCGATTCAGGTCAGGCTTTCTGAATGCGTGGAGGGTGAGCCATTACTTAACCCTCTTGCACTATTACCTAATGTCCTGTTATGTTGCGAGGCGCATCAGTTCTTCGTGTATCACCGTCTTTCGTCTTGCACAGACATACGCAACGAGCATAACCGGGGTTAGTCGCGTCAAGCTTGAAATTTCCGTTGAATTCACTGATATTTCGCATACAGAATGACCAGTTGTCTACCTGCTTTGCACCGACATCATATCCCCTGTTTTGTCCTGATCTTTGTTAGTCAGATAACTGGATTATTAATGAGGTCAACAATGCAGGTCTCGGTGACTCGGTTGGTGTTCATGCTTCTCAGAACCGTCAACTTTGCGCTGATCGACCTGTACTATTAAGTCAGTTTGTGCCTTTTAATGTACGCTTATTTTTGACATTTTGATTAGTGATTATACACTAAATATAGTTCATCTGAGTACTCATTTCATTTCTATGTATGCCTCTAGTTATCCTTATCTCAGCATTGACGTTTTTTATCACAAAATGATGTGCAGTTAATCTATAAAGCTGTGACCCTTCAGAAACTTGCGTTGAAGTAATTACGGAATGGAACTACGGCTTGCTAATTTTCTTCGCCTCTTGACATGTCAGCCTTGTCCAAAATTGCTGCACCTCTGCTGTCGTCTAAGTACTTTCTCACGAGAGTGGTACATTCCACGAATGCTTGATAATCTCAGCTGTGTGACTGCTCACAGCTAAGATTTAATGCTCGTGTTCTTTTCATCATTTCTCTAACTGGCTTTTGTGCGCTGATTCTTCTACCAAAATATATGTAGGTGGAAACGCTGTTATTCTGAGCTCTGAACTGAATGTACAACATAGGTTTTAAATCCGAAAATGTGCGGATGCATTCAATTCAACGATGAGCACAGTCCGACTTCAAATCACCAACGGCTGTCCTCAGGCACGACACGCCCTGTTCTACTGTGCTTTGCCTTTTGAAAGCATGCTTTACTCTTCTGAAGCTGCCCGAACCCACAACTAACGCTCTTTTTCCTCTGTCTCTGTTGTGATCTCGGAAGCATCTGACAGCTGCCGAGGTGGTCAAATCTCTACGAAGGGCCATTTCTCCTGTGTGTCCTTCCATGTGGCCTGTAATGTCAAATATGCCATAAGTTGCCGAAAGCGCACGTATCGAAGTTTCATTGTCCCTCTGATGATAATGGAATGTCAATTTAACGTGTACTGCAGATACGTACTTGCTGTCGCTCAATCATCGGAAGTGCATTCGCCTCCACGTCTGCGGATGGTCACGAGTTCATTATGATATGATTTTACTCAGTCTTAAGGATTGATAAGCCTCCGCTGCTTTGGCAGACCCCTATGTTTGTCAAAAAAGTGAAGGCTTGTTCGTGACTTTTTTTCGTACTGAGGTCGCTGTAGTGTCAATGTACCACTTTCATAGGCGAATTCCAGTGCCAGCTGTGTGGAAGTGTTCAAATCTCATCGCGGCCACTCTTCCAATCATTCAGTTAGCTGCGGAATATTTGCACTAAACTACGGTCGACATTCGCCCTGCATGCCCTTTAACTAACGTGCATGTGTACTTTTATATTTTCACTGACCGGAATCGCCTTGAAATAAGTTTCTTGTTTATGTGTACACTTTGAGGCGTTACTAATTGTTGGCTGCCCTTTGTGGTAACCATTTGCTTACTTCTGTGGTCCCTACCTTTTATCTTCTTTTTTATTTTCACCGAAACCTCAATGTTTTCGCACTTTCCTTGGTCTTTTAATTTTCCTAGTAATTCCAACAAGCTTATAATTTGCTGCCAAGCTTCTCCTCAGGAATGTTCATGCTATTTTTTGCGTGGGGTAATTTTATACTAGACTTACTACTTTAGTTACTTTAAGTAGCAACGCAATAGGATTACTACTGACCTCTCGGTTTTGGCTCCTAGGGCCGCTAAACGAAGTGTTCCCGCGGGACTCGACTTCGACTATGACAAATTTAAGGAATTCATGACCACTCCCCTCGAGGATTTGAAACAAAAGCAAAAGGAGTCAAAAGCAACTCTCTCGTCTTTGGACACTGAGCTAAAAGTCCGCACTGAGGTACCCCGACCTTCTGGTCCCCGTATCCTCTGTCTTTTCAACATTAACCAGTCGTCCTGATCAAACTTAATTTTGAAATCTTATTAGCAAGATAGTAATTACTAGTCTTATGGACTAAACATTGGTCTATCTTGTCCATTTGGCTTGACTCTTCTGTGGGTCTGAAGGCTCTCCCTAATAGTCCTGTAATTTTTTTTTCGATTTTCCTACTTCTTTACTGTGATTTTTTTCCTGTTCCATTTTAGTTGGTTGAATCTCAAAATAAGCACATTTTTGAGGGCTTGGATGCATTTTTCCCCAAAAAAGGATTTTTGCCAGTGAGTTCGTTGGACCTTTATTTTTTTCTACGCCTTGCTTCCGATACCCCCTTAGACCTTGTGAGTACCTACACATTATGGAATTTTCTATTTGAAATTTATGCACTGGTCACCGATTAGCTCGAAAACCGCCCCTAATTTCAATTTAGTCGAAGAAAAATAACAGTTCTTCATTTGACCATGCATATTCTGCTTTTGAAATTATTCGCAGCTCCTCTGTTCTACTGTTTCACAGTAAAGTTTTTTTGATACTTTGCTGTCTGTTTTGTTACCCCAAATTGTTTTAAATGGTGCATATTTGGAATAAGCTGCCTACGTTTTGAAGCGTAATGCAAGGCTGAAACTTCGGAGGCCGCGGATAACTTTTCAGACGGAGTAAAATACTTTTGACCCATAAATGAAGTTACCAAATGGATCAGAATTCCTTTGTTCAATCACTTTGTGTTTGTAATTGGTTTTGGAGAAAGACTTGGTTGGATCTTGACTAGTTCCGAATTACTTAGACAATAGTTAGACCTTAAAACATTATTTTTACTTAACTCACCATCAGTAGCAATTACGAGCTTCTTTGTTTTCCTTTCCATTTCATTTTTGTTCCATTTGACTGGCTAATCGGATTGTAGTTTGACCAAATTCAAGACTTTAAGCCGTATAAGCTGCCTTTTACTGAATAACTGCTTGAGGAATCTGATTTTCCACATACACCTGAATTGGACCATTTATGGAATTGTCCAAACGATGTTTGTGGTTTTCGACGTTTGTCGGATCCAAAATAGGCGTCGGGTGTTGGATATACTAAATGTTTTGCGTTGTGGTTGGATTATCCTTTAAAGCATTGATCACTGACCATCGCCATTGTTTCACCAACTTCATATTTATCCTCTCTAGCACAGTAAAGTTGTCTGGTTCTGAGCGTACCTATTACCACTCGCCGTAGCAAAGACGTGTGAGATTTTATCTGTAGTTTGTCTGTTCTACATGCTTGACCCATCGCTTCCTGTGAAGCTCATGGAGAAGCTGTCTCAACTACTCGTTTGCCATTAAGCACTGCACAGCTTCCCAGACCGAATCGAATTTGTACCCAAATCTTCTCAATAATTTCCTTTTCCTCGTATTAAAGATACGTGTGATGTTTTTTTTTCTTTTGGAGGTGAAATATCCCTTTGTTTGTATGACTGTCATGTACTCTCTCTCTCCCTCGCATACACACGCGCGCGGACGAAAAATTGCACGTACGCGCTCCTCATCTGTGTATCCTCCTCGCCTAGTTGTGCGTGTGCGTGACGAGGCTGCAGGCGTTCATTGTCCTACCACCAGTAGTGGCATGTGCTTAGTGCGCTGAAAATGGCGCGCATTAGGAAAGGAGAGGAGGAGGTGGAGTTGGAGACGAAGGCGGAGAAGGGGAGAGCACAGGCCACCAAAACACTGCCACCGCCCTCGGTGTTGTAGTAGTGCATGGAAGGAGAGAATTGTAGCAAAACACAAAAAAAATGAATCCAAACGAATGAAGCTAGCTGCCCCTCTCTGATTACCTGACGAGGAAAAAAGAGACACTGGCAGGGCGGACGCAAAGAATTGGCCTGTACTGGGTAGAAAAAAGATCAAACTCCCTGCAGTAGCACAGTGTCATCAGCCCAGTCGTCATTGCTGCTTTCGGAAGGTTTGGATAGAAGAGATATTTTGCGCAGCTGTGTAGTCCTCTTTTCCCGTTGGCGCATTTTATTTTCTTCTATCATGTTGTAAGGGGCAAAAGTACTGGCTGAGTCCTCTTTTGATTCCTTTTTTTAAAGGCACTTGTGCGTGTTTGTACCTTCAGATTTCCTACCGCTGGACAAAGTCGGAACTGGCGCTTCTTGTTATGGCCCTCAATGAATATGGCAAGGATTTCATCAATATCGCGAGAATTTTGGGAACAAAGTCGGAAAGTCTTGTTCGCGACTTCTACAATAAGTATAACGATACATATGACTTGGATGGCTTTATTGGGTATGTCACCCCTTGCCTTAACGTATGTCGGATTTCTCTCAAAGGTATATTCAATGTTTATTTTTGACTTGGAGCTGTCTGGTGAGTGGATATTCTTAATTTTGCTTGTCTGTATGCTAAGACTTCTTTCTTGATCTTAGCAAGGAGAATGGAAAATCAGAGGAGATTACGAAGACTCCCTCAGAGAATCCAGAAGGAGAAATCGTACGCCCACTGGAACCAGAATCAGTGGCCGGCGATCCCGGTCCATTGGATTTAGCTGCGCTCGCGACCGAGGTGAAAAGCGATCCTGAAATCAAGACCCCTCTTGTAAATGGAGAGTTGGAATCAGCGTCGAAGGGCTCAACCTCAGAGTTGGAATCGCCATTTATCGTTACCGCACCCTTGAAGCATAGTCCCAGAGGTTCCTCACACATGGAAACGCCTCCTGCTCCCGATGAGAGGTAAGTCGATGTCTCGCTCACACTCCACCGACATTCTGTTGTAAACCCAACTTTTTTTCATAGTTCATCATCGCAAATCCCCCATGTCAGGGCCCCGAAGGAAATGCTTGAGCAGGAAGGAAATAAATTTCCGCAAAATACAGTATGTAACAAGCCTGAAGCAGAGAAGATAAAGGAGGAAGAAGAAGAGCAAAACCGCCAAATCCCACGTGGACAAAAGAGACCTGCCAGAGAAGCTGCTGCAAAGACCGCTACCCCGTCTCGGTCGACGGAGAGTCCAGCTATTGCCAGGCGTCGTCGCTCACGGCGCTCAAGTGAGGACGCGCAAGCGGCCCCTTCGCGTCGTACGCGCACCTCCAACGCGTTGGCAACGCCGTCCCCCGTAAGGAGTGGAGTGCAAACACGAAGGTCCTCAGTGGTGAAGGCGAAGGTGGATCGCCGAATGCGGTCACGGAAACAAAACCAGGGCGTGAAGGCGAGTTCAGAGAAGGTTATAGTGAAACGTGGTAAAAGACTACAGTCGGCAGGAAGAGGAGAGAAGGAGGTGGGTGAAAGGAAAAGGAAAAAGGTGGAGACGGAGGCTGAGCAGCCTACTGTAAGCACGCGTCGGCGCGCCTTGGGGCCTAGCCAGGCGCCGGTGACGATCGGGTCACCGAGAAAGCGCACTCGAGCCTCACTCGCTACCTCCCCACGTCCCTCCACTCGGCAGCGTCGGTGAGATGGGTCATGGCCTTGATGGGCGTAGTTTCTTCCCACCGCAGGTTCTCGGGTCTACCTTAACTGTGTGCGTACCTCTATGTGTCTCACTGTCTCATTATTAACTCGTCTGCTCTTTTTATTGGAACACAATGTCAACGTGTACATGATGCGAATATATTTATCCCCCTTTCCTCTTCCCAATGTGATTTGCTCACTGCCTTTAGTACGCATGTATAAACTGAAATTTGAACAAATGGTACTTCACTTACTCCCCTCTCTTCTATCCCAATCAGTTGTTGGATTGGCAGTACAGGATGCTCTTCTTTTAGAGGAGGTAGCGGATTGCTTCTCCGTATGGTGAAATGCAGGCCTAATGTATAATAATCAAGGGCTAATTTTTTTGCGCACAGAAGTCGGTTGCTTTTTTCGTTTTTCGAAATCCATGATCACTGAGAGATTAGGTTACATAACGCTGGGGATGTTAATCTGCTTGAGTTATTTATTTGTACGTTGGCACTATCTCGTTCTCAATGGGCTATCTTTTCATATATAAATGGGAATGAAAGTGGTATGGAGGAACATTAGGACAGTAGTAGTGATGTACCAGTAGTGATTAATAGTCGTTTCGACAAATTTTTTCACCAAGACGACAGTCGAGACTGAATCTTTGTAGAAAAATTCCATCTAGAGGAGATTTCTGCGTCCGTTATTGTCCATGGACTCAAGTGTGTCAAACTTACCAATTAATCTAAGGTACACAATTTCATGATTATGAAACTAACCCCATAATGATTATGGGGTCAGTGTCCAGTGTATCTTCTCCAAACGATTTACTCCTTGCAATTTACTCGAATTTGCATGGTGGCGAATCTGAAGAAACTGATTGCTGTTCTCCTACCAGTGGTCCACAGATGATGGCCCCATCCCCTAAATCACTCTCCCTAGGGCATTTTGATTCGCAATTCAATTTTTAGACTGCTAATATCAAGTAGACGGTGTCATATTCTGACCACTACCTGTTGAAATTATAATTGTGCGTTTAACTACTCGAGATCTTTCCGCCTTCGACGACTACTGTGCTCCCAATCTTCCAGCTCTTCTTCACGTCATTGATATAGTCATTTCCAGGCTTGTAATCGTACAGCCTTCACAAGGACAACCTGGACTCTGGGTATGCTACATAGCCTTAACTTGGCTAATATACTATGCGTCCCACCATTACCCCTACAAGAAGGCGTTCGCACCGAACCCACAATGCGTCTGCAGTGCCTAACTGGGACCAGAGACAGAAATGGGACGAGGATAAGTGTCACAACGGCGCCTCGTCGGGATGTGCATGGAAGTGGCGTCTTGTTGTTGTTACGCTGCGTGGTGGTTATTAATGTGCGCAATCATCGAGGCTTTTTATGGCAGCAAGGTGTTTGATACCATCACCCACGGGGAAGAGTGTTGCACCTACGCACGCACCTGCGCGTACACCCTCGTAGGCCTTGTTCGGCACACGGAGGTACACAATAAGTGTTATGCGTTGCCATGGCAATGGAAACAAGTTATTTTTCCACCTGATTAGAAGCGAATTATTACTATTACTCCGTTATCTCGCGTTCCCTCGCTGTCCTGCATTTACCCACACCCAGATAACAATGATAGGGTGGTGGGCAAGAGGGCAGGGGTTTTGAACAAAATAAAAATCTTGTCTTATTGAACAGGTGATGGGATGTACTTCAACCTCCTGCAAGCAGATAAGGGAATGAAGCTTCAAAATATTTTAAAAAATTGATGTGATTGCACACGAGATGAAAGTTTTGCCTTTGCCTTTCACTTATTCTATAAGGAGATTAGTGCCTTAAATGGACTATTAAATAAGCTGTTTTCGAATGAGTTACTTAAAGGATACCTCTGTGATCTGTCTAGTCCACGTCGCCATGGTGCGCATAATTAGTTCGCCTTTGGACTAGGCAATGGAGGACCATTTCAATCGGCTGCTTTACTAGTGGAACCAGGCAACAGATGCTCAGACATCGAAAGAAGTTTCACGATTGTCCTTCCAAAAGACCCAGAGTAGAAAAAAAAACAATGGAAATAACAAATATAATGAATACCGTCCTGTTATAATAAAGTATTTAAACTCCATTTACGCATTCCGACTCGAAAAGTTTACCTCTGACAAGTCAAAATCATTTTTTGCCTTTTAAATTTGCAGAAGCATTCTTTTCTTTGAAATTAATTGAAGTTGTGTATCTACCACTTAATCCTGCTTTATTTAAAACAGATTCCACACTTATTCATTTAGTGAGCTAAAACCGCTGAAGGTATTTGAAGCTGAATACTTCATCGGCTGCCCCGTGGAGGTACCGTGATGTCCGCAATCCGAGCGATGCCACTGGTTTCAAAGGCAGTGTCACTTTTACCCACCTGCCTGTCTCTGTCCTCTGTTGACAACCAAGAAGCGATTGCTTAGTAGAACAACGACTAAAGCTAAGTTTACCTTATTTTCCCGCTTGTAGAAAGGTTTTGCATCAACAGCGCGCGTCTCATTGGGCGGCTCATGCGCTTTGTGCTGACTGGCCACCCTCGGCACACCATCAAAGTAAGCGCAGGTCACGTGGTTGGAGTAATTAAGTGAGGAAAAGATGAAAACCTGTTGTCATTCTTTATTCGCACTAATTAAAAGTTGCTCGTCAACAGTAACGGTGAGCCTCTAATATATTATTTGTTTGTTTAGCTCTCGGTTTTGGTAGCGGACCAATGAGTGCCTCCGCCATTGTACCTCCTCTGGGCCACACCAGTAGCCACTAAGCCCTTCTGTAGGTCGACAGCATATATTTTGCCCAAGTATTGTATCTTCTTCCGTCTTCAGGGCAGCCTTGAGGTGCTACAGTTCATTAACAGCTATAGCTTAATTGTTGAACTTAAGCACAATTTTTCACATTTTTAAAATATGAGACAGATATGCTAGTCTTTGCCGAAGGCGTCATAAATCGCACGAGTCTGTGTGGATCTTCATTAAAAATGCATAGACGAGCCGGCAGACATGAACTAAAAGGCACGACATCAAAACAGTTGCGGAGCCTGTGGTGAAAGAAAGACGTCTGCAGTTTAAGTGGTACCATCAAGTAACCCGAGCAATTAACTAAAGCGGTGTCAGAGGAGGATGCACATGCACACACACACCTCACCAGACAGGATTTACATGTCTGGAGTCCGACGTCGCACACGTGTGTCGTGTTCATTATTACTGTGTGTGTGAAGTGATTGTACAGCGCCCCGGGACTTCCCTGAAGGCAAAATAAGATATGGTACTCAGGCAGAATGTACCGTTGACATGCGGAAGGGATTAGAAGCAACCGACATGGGCCACTGGGTGGAGACACAATGGCAGAGCCTTACGATTCCGCATAACAAAAATGAAGAGGTAAACAAACAATCAAAGCATTACATAGTCTCTCTTCTCTTTTGATTGTTGTGGTCGTTTAATCTTCTGCGTCAGCCATCACAGTTAAGTCAATGCTGTAAAGAAAACATCCTCGAGCCAAAGGATTGAGTCATCGAATTTCCATGCAACTGAAACGATACCTGACGGCAATATCGCTAATCCATTTTAGCAAATCTACTGGATCTGAAGTTCTGTTTTATGTTAGCACCACTTTGGGGGAAAAGGGAACGTGGTACCAATTTTGTATGCCCATTGGAAATTGTAAGGACACTGACCTAAATCGCGCCTTGTAATCTTTGCAGCTTTATTCTTACTTCAGCGCTACCCAGCCGTGTCTATCTGGGTTCTAACCATCCAGATATTTGATATCTTCATTCAGCTATGGTGATTAGCTTGGTAACGAAACTTTTCCAGCTGGTTAACAGCTAGTGTTGCTTTAGTTGTTAATACCAGTCGTGCAGAGAACGGGAATGGGGGGGGGGGGGTAGTTACCAAAGGCAGATGTCATTTTCATACCTTCTATTAGAGGTTCGTCACATATTCTTTTGTCCTCAGTAGATGCCCTTCTTCCTTGCCGATAAGGATGACCACTCGGCGGTGGAAATCAAAGTAGATGTCATTAAAGGCAAATTTTGCTTTTTGTTGCCACCCATGTAGCTCCACAAGACGTACATTAGGGCTACTGGCATGGCCCAAAGGCCAGCAGCCCTTAAGCGAAGGAACAATATCGAAGCCCCCAAGTGGTCCGTAACCAAAGCTGAGAGTTAAACAAACAATAAACGCATTGCAGTTGCACAAAATCTGGTTCCAAGCAGAGTGGTCGAGTTTGCAACACCACAATTGAGAGATGGTACTTTTGGTTTGGGAGGAGGAAAAAGCATATTTTAGTTGGTTTATCCCGTACGTTGGGTTTTTTTTGCAAAAGCCTTCAGTTTTACTGCTGTAAAATGATCACAAGTGAGCCAAAGGATGTGTCAAAGCTCCTCAGTGGATTTGCCCTGTAGATGCCTTCCCAAAACTTAAGTTAATAATATGTAGCTAAACCAATTTCCCATTTCCCTTAACAATGATGTCGCAAAATTCATGTGTAAACACGTTGGCAGAAAACACTTTATGGCGAGAGTATCACTACCACTTAGTAAGGTAAATTTTAATAAGTTATTTCGGCTACACTTCTCCCTGTGGCAAATCCTTCGTAGTCTAATTGTAAAAGGCAGCCCATGAACAATACCTCTTCGCCACGGCCGTAGTAGTGGGAGGGTTGGCAAGAATCTGAAAGTGTCTCCTCGATAAAATATGCTTTCTGCTTTTCAATTTGCGGCTGTTCTTACTCCGACACTAGCGCTATCAACTGTCTAGACAGCTTAGTGATAATGCGAAGTCGCTTTTGCAGTCAGAGGCGGAGCGGTAGACATAAATAGAGACCATAAAAACGACCATTAATTGTCCGTTAAAGGATGTATAAACAAGAAATTTGGGTTTTGCGCCTTCGGAGGATATAAGATGCAGGAAATGTGGACAGGCGGAGCCACATCTATCAGTGTCCGGGCGTGCACGCGAGCGCATCGCCGGACGCGTAATTACACCTCGGCACGACTGGACAGAGAGGTGGAATTTCGGCAGCCTCCTGCAACAGCACAGCTTGTCCAAAACTTGAATTTAAGCTTTGGGACTATGGTTCCAAGCTGTGGAATTTCTTTGGAACTAAGGCTAGGTACTCACGTGTCAACCGTTTAGTCACCCTTTGTGAACTGCAGACAGCTTCAAAAATGCTGTCTTATGCCCTTGTTTACGAGGTCATATAATTGCCTAGGTATCATAATTTCTTTAGAGATGCAGTAATTTTGATGCATTTGAATAAGTAAGGAACAAGTCAAGACCGACGCGATATAGGCAGTCCAATTGGAAAAGCTGAATTGGAAAGGTGAAAAAAAAGTGGCCCTAATTTTTCATAAGTCGGTGACAATTTTTGGAGAGGATTACTCTCTGCAACAGATTTCGTCTATTGTGGACCAAGTAACAGGTTGTTAAGCCTACTTCTATCTAGTGGACAGTATTCAAACAGTCACGGAAAGTGTACCCAAACATCAAATAATTTTCCAATTAAAATTTCATTCACTAACTTTATTCAACAGTCAGTGCTAAAAGCCAGACTACTTTTCAATGAGGGAATTAATGCAAGATCACATTAAAAGTCAGTGATGGGACCTGTGGATTGAAAAGTGAAGAATTTTATAATCTATTGGCATTAGTCGATTTAAAAGTGGTGGAAACATGACCCCACAAGATTAACTAGGGTTTTTAATTCTGGAGAAATGATGTGACAACTTTTTAAATATTTATCCCCATTATCATTTATTATTAAAGACTTGTAGCGCCCTGAGACCTCCTCAAATGCGAAAGAGGAAATGCCTTTCAAGCAGAAGGTGCATCGTCGACATGCAGATGGGATTGGGGTCACTGGTATTGCACGCAGGCCAGGGCGCCCGGCGGACGTACAATGGCGGAGCCTTGAATAGACCGTTACAAAAAACCAAGAGTTAAACAAGAAAAGAAGGTACTACATAGCTACTCTCCTCTTTTGAGCCTCGTCCCCAGTCTTCCCATTGGTAAACCTCCCGTGTCAGCCACCGCAATGTAGTCGGCGCTGTAAGGAAAGCACCCACGAACCAACCGCCTCAGTCATCAAAATTTGCATGCATCTGAGAGAATATTTAATCGCAACGTCACAAAATCCTCTTGGCAATTCTGCTAGAAGTGGAGTTTCGCCCTGCTTGGGGACTGGATTTGGGGACGGAGGAATGTGCTGGTCATCACGCCTGTCCATCGCTAGCAGTAAGAGCACCGAGCTAGAAGCGGAGTTTTAATAACAAAACGGGATTTGGTATTAGTTCCGTGGGGATGAGGTTCCGCACTTATTTCCCCCTATCAGACGCTTTTTACTTCAATGCTGCCCAGTCATATCTATCTGGGTTCTATCCAGCTAGTGTATTATCTATTACCTGATATCTTCAAGCAGGTAACGTAGACAGCTTCGTAACACGATTCTTATATGGTTTCCGACCAAGGCTAGTGTTGCTTTAGTTGTAATTAGCAGTCCTTCGGAACACGAAAGTGGGGTATTTGCCAAAGGTAGACATCATTTTCGGCCAATTTGTCATAGGTCACCATACGTTCTCTCACCTACAGCATATGCATTTCTTCCGTCACGCTAAGGTTTACCACCGAGCAGTAGGAAACAGGATATTTATTCGTTGAGAAAGTGTTTGCTTTTCGCTGTTACCCATGTAGCACCCCGAGACTTCCCTGAAGAGGAGAGAAGACATAATACTCGGCTAGAATGCATATTGCCGAAGTTCAGTAGGGCTGGGCGCTGTTGGCATGGCTGGGAGGCAAGCCCACCCGATTTGGGTACATTGGGGGAGCCTTAAGTGGCCCCTTACTAGAACCGGGAGTTGACCAAACTACGTTTTGCGGAACGCCTCAGCACCTGTATGCACGCGATGCGGGTAGAACCTTTGGTCCGCAACTAAATATGCCTGTTTCAGATGAAAGATCATAAGAGCCTAATTGCGATTTCAAAAGGAAAATTAATGGACTTATAAGTTGTACGAATTGTTAGATAATATAGCAACAGCAAGTATTTATAGCTGCGATATGTTTGGTGAAGCTGGACGGGATGGCATTGGACACACTGGTGGGTTGATTAAACTGCAGGGGAAGAAAATGCCTCCTGGCAAGATTTAATGAACCTGAGGCAGTTGTCCTTGTCACACACAAATTTGTTTATTTACAGTGGAAATTGCTCTAAATTAATCATTCCCCGATTGGCATTTGATTAAGAATTCTCTCCTGTGGAAGAAATTTACTGTTGAGGCGTCATTTTCTTTGAAGCACCGTTCACCCATCTTCGCAAAGGACCTTGACGCAAAGCTACACTTCGAATGTGTCAAATTTATGGCAGTCACTGTCTATTTTTGCCTCTACAGACTCCAAGGTTTGATTAAATGGTAGTAGAAACGAAGAAGAGTATTTTTATAACAATGAACTTTCGCCGGGGCCTTTCCATCGGTGACTTTCATGTGCTAGACGGCACAAAATACGACCAATTCAAGGTGTCACCACGTGACGTGCATAAACGAGCAAAATTTGGAGGACCCGTCTAGGTCTGTGCATAAATGACATAGGAAAGCATTATTTAACGCCTAAGTAAGGTGTCCATTAAATAAGAAGACGTCCAATGTGTACGAAAGCTAGGTGTATGCGTGTGCGCATGTTCATGTGCGTTTTATGCTCCAAAACGTGCGTCCCTGAGCCCTCCCCTCAACCACCATTGAATCCCTCTGTTTGGAGATTCTGTTTT